TTATATAAATTTCAGTGTGTGTGTGTGTGTGTGGGTGTTAGTGTGTGTGTAACTGCAACTGTCATTTCAAAAAAAATAAAATAAAAAATAAACCTTGTCCACTCGGGCAGCGAACGCGCTTTGTGGCACGTTGATTGCAATCATAATTTATAAATGTTGCCGACAGTCAACAAAATGTTGCTTTTGTTGTTGCAACAGTTGCTGCTGTTGCCGTTGTAGCTCTCTCAAAGCAGGCTATGGAGTGGACTTTGCGCCCTCTTCTCCTCCACTCTCTTCTTTTTCGGAGCCAATAAATAAATAACTTCTGTGAGCTGTTGAGTCATGCGCAGCACGTAAAAAAAGGCTAGAAAAAAGGCCAAAAAAAGTTGGCAATTTGTACCCGAAGTTAGGCAGAAAGCCATTAGCGACAGATACAGCAACTTTTACTGTTCCTCCTACTGCATATGAATAATTGAAAAGGAATCAGAGCTCAAGAACCAAGAACTAGTTGAGGAACTGTTGAAGAAATCAGCAAGTGAACTGGAACCGAAGTTGCTTTGCATTTAGTTTGCTGTCCAATATGGAATATGAATAATTGAAAATGGAACTAGTTGAAGAGCTGAGAAATACTCCAAGAAACTGCAGCTGGAACAGGTTTAACGGTCCCTTGTCTTGAGTGATTTGTAATGAATAAGAAATTGGATTGAGACCTAGTAAATAGCTAAGGAATTGCTTAAGGCACTAGTTGCAACGGATTTTCATTGTCTCCACGTTGTAATTACTTGACTATGAATTGTGGACCAATTGAAAACAGAAGTGGGAACTAGATAGGGGAAGCAGCACCTAAAAATTGGAGCAGTTCCCAAAAGGAGCTCTGCCAACATTGTATTTACTTTGCTGCATTAACAGCTCGCCGGATTTGATTGTTTTGCTTGGCCCGCGGATGGAGCAGCTGACCCAAGCGAGGGCCAGCAAGGGCGTGTAGGATGGAGGGCGTGGTCAAAGGGGGAAACTCTTCATTTGCCAAGTTTGCAACTGCAGCTCGACCCTTTTTTCATTTTCTGCGCTTCCTCGTGGTATTTTTTTGTATTTCGGTCTGGTCAAGTGCTGCGGCCAACATTTGTTGTGGCAGAGAAACCGCAGCGGCATTTGCTAGATTTACTGCGAGCGAGCGAGCGAGAGTGAGAGAGATTGGAAGATAAGGAGAGCGCGGCAGATGGGGCGTATGAGTGATGGCCATGCATATTCATATACATTGAGATTCATTGTATTTGCGCGCTGCATTTCCGCAGTATTCGAGTCTCCTCGTCCAGCTCTTGAGCGTTTGTTCGTTCTACTTACGAGCATTTCGCTTTCTGCTTTTTATGGCGCATAAGCGGAAGGAGGTGGAGGAAGAGGAGGAGTAGGAGGGGTGGACGGGGGAACGTGGCATGTAGGGCAGAGGGAGATAAAACTTGGCTTGGCAAATGGAGTTGATGCGGTTTATGTTGCCTTTAAACTGATTTATTTTCAATTAAACAAGTTCATAACTTGGCCAACAACTTGGCAGCTTCCGCGCAGCCCTCGTCCTGCCTGGTAAGGACTTGCCTTTTGTGCTTGGCCTACAATTTACGCCGCAAATTTAATTTATTTTAGATACACCTAATCCACAAAAGCAAACTTGATTTATCAACATAAATATTTTGCATGCTGTCGACTCCTGCGTCTCTACAGTGGGCAACAAAGTTTGGTGCACGCCTTGAAAGCCAATTATTTACAATAATTTGCAGACATCGTTGTATTCGCTGAGACCGAGAAGGTTCTACCAAACGGATGTGGCTCTAGTTGAGCTGTGCACTCACTTTTGTCACCCACTGTTCATATATGTAAACTGGCAACAAAATGTGCGTGCATCGTTCGTCTCTCCCTCTGTCCCCCTCTGTGGTTCTCTCTCTCTCTCTCTGTCTGTCTGTGTCTGTGTCTACACACTTTGCCAGCCTAAATGGCAGAGTGTTAAAGGATATGTTTTTCTGGCTTAGGCAAAAGTGTGTGAAATTGACAAGAAGTGGGCGTGGCAGCCGAGCTGAATAGAGCAAACGGGAGCACATAAGCTAGGCAGAGTTAGTTGGGCCTTAGTGCGCACGCAAGAGCATCAACTGGTCTCCATTTCAATTACAATCGCTGTCAAGTGAATTTCAATTTGAATGCACTTGAATGGATTAGTTGACTTGATTACGAGCATTTCTGTTTGAGTCTGGCTATTAAATTTAATTTGCTATATGGATTTATGAATGCCACTATCCCCCTCTCTCTGTGTCACTTTTCTTTTGACTGTATATGTGTTATTTGGGCTTTGCCTTTAGGCACTTTAAATTTAATATTAGCAAATGTTGCTCAGTAGCAGCTCATCTCATTTAAACTCAGCGTCCGTTCGTCCTTTCCCATCGCATCTTTCATTTCATCTGATCTAAATTTAAATATTATTAAATGGAAATATAAAATTTTAATGTGTGTTTCATATCAAATTACTTGAAGCTGTCTCTCTCTCTCTCCTGTCCGGATATAAATCATCATTTGCCAGGGTCCTCTGGTTAACACATGTAATATCTCCAGCTGGCTGGCCTCCAAATTTTTGGCAAACTGTAGCCAGAGTCAAAGTGTGTCGTTGCAGCTAGGCTGGAGGGGGGTCAACGTTTTATGGTAGTTGAAATGGAGCTCGCTTTCGACAGGCTCATAAGTCAAAGGCAGCAAACAAATGCCTTGTCAATTGGCGGCTGGCCGCAAATGCTATAAAGCTGACAAATGTCTAACAAGAGCAAGCGGCCCCAAGCCACAACAAAGCTGACAAACAGCGGACAGCGGACAGCGAACAGCGGTGCAGTGGCTCCGTCCCCGGCCACAGAGAGACGCAAACACAGCCATAGACACGGCCATAGATAGAGCCATAGACAGAGGACAAATATTGTGGGCGGGGCGCGCATGTTGATCGCAGGTACTCATAAAACTGTCCAAATGTCAATATTCCAATGTCACAGACACACACAGACACAGGCACACACACACACACACACACACACACGCAAATATTAAATCCAAGCGCACTTTTGTGACATGCAATTTGCTGGCAAACAGGAAAAAAAACAACTCTTACAGAACTAAGTGGAAGTTAAGCTCATGTAGCAAATACCTTATAAAAATAAGAATCAAATAAATGTTTACACTCGCTGAATACAAAAGTGTTGGCAATGCTGCTTAAGGCAATGCATATTTTAGTGTTGAAATGGGGAATTTGATTAAAGTCTTTGAGTTCCGCTCTGAACTAAGATATAAATTCGATTGACAGTGAAGTCACTTTGGGATTTTTATATATGTACATACATAAATAGAATGTTTAAGCAGGAAATGTTTTTCTTGGATTCATTTGTTAACTTTAGCTGGATGTTTTTGTTTAACATTTTGCAGCTGTTGCATATTGCTTGAGGTGTCTGATATGTCTTACATATAAGCATAGCGTATATATACTTGTGTCAAATCAATAAAAACAAAATGCGAAACAGCGCATACTTTGATTCGGCTTCCCTTCCACTCTCTCTCACTTTATCACTCTCTCTCGCTCGCTCTCGCGCACTGTGTAACACCTCAAAGTCCGACCAATTTCAATTTTCAGCAGTCGAGCAGCAGCAACAACAAACATGTTACAAGAAAATGAACATGTCAACAGCACCCATTGAGAGAAAGAGAAGCACAGAGAGAGAGAGAGAGTGAGAGAGTGAGCGAGAGAGAGAGAGAGAGAGAGAGAGAGAGAGAGAGAGAGAGAGAGAGAGAGAGAGAAAGACGCGCGTTTTTGCTTCAATTTGCTTCCTTTTTCTCTGTCGTTTGCCCGCTCCGTTGCCTTCATTGGTTCTGGTTCTGGTTCTGGCTCCCAGATTTTGGGTATGGGCTTTGCAGGCTTTCAGGTTGATTCTGGTTTGGCTGGCTTTGGTTTTTTCGGTGCGCCACATTTTTAGCAACTTTGTAAATATTACAAAATTTAGGTGTCTCGCTTGGCGAACATGCCAATGAAATATTTATGCAGTCAGCCAGCAGAAACACACACACACACACGGTCACACACTCGCATGTGATTGTGTGTGTGTGTTTGTCTGTTGCTGTTTTGTGTAAATATAAAGCGAACCACATTCGACAGTTCAGTCAGACAGAGCGAGAGAGAGGCAATGAGGGAGAGAGAGAGACCGAGGAGGCTGGTCTGTGTCTGATAAACAGACAATTTGGCAAAGTGGAAACGTGCAGAGCGCGCATAATTTTCAGCTCGACACACCTGAGCCTAGTCACGTGGCAGGTGGGGAGTTGCGGCGCATAAATCGAGCCTAGACTTGAGTCAAGTGCAACAGCAGCGGCGACTTTGAGGTTTCAGCTTTGCGGCCGATTGAAGCTGCCGATGGCTGTGGCGATAAAAAGTGCTTTAGTTTGATTAGCTCAAAGTTTACTAAACATATAATTTCGAATTTTGAATGATAATTTTAATGTTTAAAATGGTATTCATTTTAATTTATCCCAAAATATTTTTTTTATATTAATATTAGTTTTAAATCAGTTATATAGCTTTAAACAAATTTCAGCCAAAAGTTGAAAGTTTAAGCTTTAAAAGATTTGCATTAAAGTCGTGGCAAGCGCTTTTCCCTCAATCCGTCTCACACCCTCGCTATCTCTCTCTCTCTCTCTCGCGTTCTTTGAACACATGTGTGCAATGGGGGAAATGCAGCTTCTGTTGTGGCTGTGAAACTTTTACGATTTTAATCGTTGGCAAATTTATGGCTTTAGCCGCGCACAATTCCCCAGCGGAATAAATAAATAAATGAAAACACGAAACCATAAACTAAACAAAAATGAAAAATGAAACATAAAGAAACTGTGCAAAAACTGAGCCATGAATGAATTCTGTTGGCTGAGGTTTGCATATTTGCTGAATTCATTTACTTTTAGTTGATTGACTGATTGATTGCTTGACTAATTGTTTCGCCCCCTTTCAATTGCAATTGCAGGTGAATGCCGGCAGTCTAGCGGAGCAGGCTGGCCTACAGCCAGGCGATGCTGTCATTAAGATCAATGACGTGGACGTCTTCAACTGTCGCCACAAGGATGCCCAGGACATTGTTGTGCGCTCGGGCAACAATTTTGTCATCACAGTGCAGCGGTAATTATACTCAGCTCTAATTAAACTAGAACTACTATGAAACTCATCTCCCTCTCTCTCTCTCTAGTGGCGGCTCTACCTGGCGTCCACAGGTTACGCCCACTGGCAACGTGCCACAGGTCAATTCGCCCTATTTGCAGACAGTGACGAAAACTTCTCTGGCTCATCATCAAACCGATAGCCAGCATATTGGCTGCGGCTACAACAACTCGGCGCGTCCATTTGTAAGTAACGAATGCATGAACAGAGAGTGTGTAGAGATCTTCTATAAATACACCATGGTTTCTTCTCTAGTCAAGCAGTTAGCGTACCTTTCAGCTTCTCCTCGTGAGATCAGACAGACTGTGATCAACCCAGATCTACGTGCGTCTCTTAGCCTCCTAGATGCTTCATAGAAACTACAGACTTATGGATAGCTTAACACTCTTATGATATAATATCCCACTCTGGACGTCTCTCTGCTAATTTTTGCATATCATTAACAATTTCTACCAACTCAACAGCTCAACACCACATACCAAAGCGTAGCATACTTTTGTGGGCAGAATTTTGATCATTTATAAACTCTCGCCCCAACAACTGGTTGACCAAAAACTTAAAATGCTTAAAGTGTGGCTTTGGACTGAGGCAGCTTTTAGGCAACATTAGCTTCACACTTACACAGACACTCACCCATACACACACACACACACAGACACACACTCGCAATTACAGCAGACGTGCTGATGACCAATGATGTTGATAGTTAGTCTCTCAGGGAAATGCTGTCAGAAACTGCCTGCCCTGTCTCTCTAGCCCCCTTTCTTTCTCCATCTGCTTGTCCGTCTCATTGTTGTGTGGGTTTTCATATTCATTCATTTTATTTTCGGCACAAGTGGAAACTTGTCTGTTTTCTATGAGTTGACAACATTTGCATTTATACGACGTTCCCTTCCTCTCCAACTGCCTCTATCTCCATCTCACTCTCCTGCTCTCTCTGTCACTCTGTTCATCCCTTCTCTGTCTGTCAGTCTGTTTGTGCGTAGTTTTTGAAAAGTGTCAGAATGAGTAATGAATAAGAGTGCTAGGATTATTTGCTGGCAAGAATTAATGTGATTCACACACACACACACACACACGCACACACACCCATCCAGCCTCACACAGACACACCCAAGCACACACATGTGTCATGCATAATAATATCAATGTGTATGATATGCATATATTTGCGTACATTTTATTGTTATGAATTTATATTATAATCATTTCTATATGAGACGGCACAGTGGGTTAGGCGAGCAGAGAACGAAACCGGAATTACAAAATGTACTTAAATAAAACAGAAATAGAATAATTTTGAATAAATAAAATAGATTGAGTGAGTGCAAAATTTACATAAAACATAAATTGAAAATAACATAAATAATATCAATAGCAAATCAAAATAGTAATTGCATTTTCCATATATTGTCCCATTAAATTGCTCAACCTCTGCTCTATTGTTGCAGGCCAACGGCGGCGGCGACGGCGGCGTGAAGAGCATCGTCAATAAACAATACAACACCCCGGTTGGCATTTACAGCGATGAATCTATTGCGGAAACCCTCTCCGCTCAGGCGGAGGTTTTGGCTGGCGGTGTTCTAGGGTAAGTAATTCAACTAGATAGCTGACCTCTCCCTCTCTGTCCTTTCCCTTTCTCTCTATCTCTTCGTCTCTCTCTCTCTCTCGTCCTCTATTTTGCGCTGGTCAGTCTGTCCCGGCTTCCCTTTTGGCTGGTTAGCTTCCCCTGTTTATGGCAAAATATGAATGTTAAAGCAAGCGAAAAGAGTAAACACATTCGAGGCGTACCCAACTGGCGGATACTCTGCTCAGTTGTAAATGAATGTAATTTAGTTATTTGGTCATGTTTCAGCCTTTAAGAATCAAAGATTCCCCTTTGATTCTTAAAGGCTGAAACAAAACTTCAACTTGATGCCGACATGAAGCTTAACGCTATTTCTACTTTGACAAGTGCCCATGCTTATACAAACCATCAAACGGTGATTCAATGTAGTTCCTTAATCAAGAAGCTTAATCAATATAAACAGCAGGCCATTCAGTGTCGTTTAGACTGTCGACTATGTAGCTGTACTTCTCAAACTAAGTCAACAAAAAAACCTTCACATTTTGACTGCCAGAGCTACCTATTCACCTGCCTTGAAGCTAAGCAGAAAGCCAACTAAAGGCGGAAAGAGAGCCAAATGAAGACATTTGCACATTCGCCACATATGCCCTCTCGTGCATTTGTAAGCAGGGTATAAAAAAAAACTGTCTGCCATGACAACCGAATGCCACACAAAACTTTTACTTTAAAATTTGTTTTGGCTGTTTTATATTTGTTTTGTTGTTGTTTTTTTCCCCCATTTTGTGGCTTCTGTTTTTGGCTTCTTTTTATTGCCGCGCCGCCGTCTGCCGTTGCCTGCCTTCGCCTGGCTCTGCGCTGCACGACCGCAGGGCCGCCTAAGCGTCTAAAGCTGAGTGCAATTCCGCCAAATGATAGCAGCTCTTCTATCCTTCACACGCCGCTCCGCGCACTCCGCCCCCTGGCCAAGTGTTTTCGGCGTGTTCTGCCAGTGGAGTCGTGTTGAGGATTTTCCTTTGGTTTTTTGTTGCTGTTTTGTTAAAATGCACGCATGGGACTTGCTTGCACTTAATTTCTTTAGGGGATCTTTTTTATTATTTTATTTTGAGCCGACTTTGGCGTCGGACATTGCGGCGTATGTCCAACAATCTCTCAACTGACTCGCCTTCTTTTTATAGCATACTTTTGCGCGCTGCGTTTTCTATTGGGTTTCCAATGCAGCCCGAAAGTATGCAATGGAAAATTTTAACACTTTTAAACGTGACTCTCTCTTTTCTGTTACAGTGTGAACTTTAAGAAGAACGAAAAGGAATACCAGGCTGACCGCTCGGAGGTGTTGAAGTTCCTGCGCGAGGAGGAGACGGGACAATCTACTCCAGGTAAGGCAGCGGCATACTATGAGCTGGCTCGCATGCTCCTGCTGCTCAATGCAGGCGAGAATCCCCTTAGAAGCGACACCATTGCCGATTAGCCCAGCAGCTGTTAGACCTCTCTAGCTAGATGGGGGCGTTGTAACATTACGCATACGCCATGTGTTGCCAGCTAGATTTGGCCTCTGGTCTATAAATAAGTCGGAGATTACAGCATTGACTCTTTAGTTTCTTTTTTAAAAACACATGGCAAAGACCTTGAACCACTCTTTAGGGCATCCAAATATACATGCATCTATATATATATACATATATTAGTTTAAACTGATTTAACTTAATTTTGTTTCTTTTGATTTTCTCAAATCTTTTGTTCTGTTTTGCGGTTAGATAAACACAAAGAAATGGATTTTCGTTTTCTTTATATCAAATCGAATTTCTAAAAGCAACTCACACAATACAAATACAACTATCTTTCCCGTCTCTCTCTCTTTCTTTATCTATATATCATAAAATATACATTAATTTTAGCTTAGGGCTTAGAGTTTAAGATAAGATTGGTCGAAACTTTACGAAATTATTTGTTAGGCTTATGTTTGCTGTTACTTCTCGTTTTCGTTCTTGTTCTATGTTCGCTAACTCATGTTTGTACTCTCTCAACTCTATTCCATTCGAAAAAAACACTCTACACAAAAACCGAACACAGCATTCAACAACAACAACTATGAGCATGATGCACCCCAGCAACAGCAGCAATATCATCAACAACAGCCACAACAACACCAACATCAACACCAACACCAACACCAACAACAATATCAACAACAATCGAACGCCACTCGTCATGTGAGCGCCCCCGTCACTTCGCCAAAGCCCCCAAGCACCGGGGGACTGCCGACTGGTCAAAACATTTGTACCGAGTGCGAACGCCTCATTACGTAAGTGTCGTAACTAAAAGCCAAACTGAATAACGTAACACTAACATGAAAATTAACATTGCGATTAACATGAATAGTAAGTGTATCCAATGAACACAATGGATAGTCTGTATGCAGATTATGCCATTTGACAGCTAAAACGTAACAGAAACTGCAGAAAGCAGCAGCAGACTGATTGTAACATTAACAGTAGCAGTAACAGAACGTTGTACTTAACATTAACAACAGAAACAACAATAATAACAATACAAACGAAAATAACACATAAACTAACATAATAACAGATAATATAAATCTCCAGAAGAAGTATTTGTTTATACGTTTTCATACCGTCATTCATCATTCAAGTATTATCATAGACTTAACATTAAGGACTCACACTCCGATTAACATTGGTCACTAACCGCCTGATAAGCCGAGTGGTAGCTAAGAGTTTATTTCAATATTAGGCCAGGTCCAGCTTAGGGTCGTCCTGGGGGGCTTATTCCCGGGGGTGAATAGCCTATCCTACCCGCTCCCACATCGCTTGCAAATAACTTGTCAAAGGCTTTGTGAACTGATTGAACTTTTGTGCATATGGCGATAATTATGTCGCTGCTGCAGAGCCGCACAGCCCGGCAAACTTCTACTGGACGCAGAGCCATGCGATTGGCGGCAACGAGCGACGCACGCCGCTGCCCCACAGCCAGGTGCAGCAGGGCCATGGACAGGACGAACGCATCGGCACCAATTTACAGCAAAATACGCTGGCGCCGGCGGCCACGCATCGACCCAGTCTGCCCGTTGCCAAGCCCCAGCAGCAACAGCAGCAGCAGCAACAGCAGGAAAAACAGCAGGAGGAGCTGCACGATCCGCGCATCATTGTCATGCCCATATGCCCCGCTCTGCAGGGCCCAGAGTACAAGGCCGAGATGGATGCTGCGGCGGCGGCACTGGCCAGCGACTCGGATGGCGTGCGTCCATTGTCCGCCAGCGGACATCCGGCCTGTCAATTGTGCGGCGTGGGCATTGTGTAAGAATTCTACAATGATAATTCATTGATGTCTGTCTGTATGCCTGTGTGTGAGTGTATGCGTGTGTGTGGGTATCTCACTGTGCATCTGTGTGTGTGTGTGTGCGTGCATTTTAATTTGCTTTTATTCCGAAGTCAATTGTTTAAATTTATGCAGCGCACATGATTATTATGCAGACACGCCTCCAACACCTTGCGTCCTCTGCAACACTATGCAGCTGGTTTCCAATTGGATTTACGCCCGCCCTCGCTCACTCTCCGCCAATTGGGCGTCATTGGGGAATATCATCATCATTTGTATTAATTTGTATGCCAATTTAATTGGCTGCCCATTGGCGACTCAGAGAGCTTAATTCGATAATTCATTATATGGACTTAACATATTTTATTCCGCATTTACATTTATTTATTCAACTCTGCTTTGCACTAACTGTATCATGAATATATTCGATAAGTAATCGATAATGCGGGACATGTCTGAGCGGACAAATGTCTACAGACCATCGAATAAGAAAAATTGTTAAAATTACGGAATTGATAAGTAGATATCGATTATTGATCGACTTCTAGACCTTCAATGTTAATTCAAATATATTAAATATTATCGATTATTCCATTCAAATATAATGTAATCATAATATATCATTTGATTGGACTAATATTCGATAACATATAAATTGACTATTGTTTTATAGCATTTACTAAACTTATACAAACTAACAATCGTTAAGCGATCCACCACAAGTTTTCATAAAGTATAGGAACACATACTTTCTGAAAGCTTTATAACTCTATAATATAGCTCTCATGGATGCCCGATTAATATTCGATAACTTTTGCAGCGGTGTCTTTGTGCGCATCAAGGACAAGAACCTGCACGTGGAGTGCTTCAAGTGCGCCACCTGTGGCACCTCCCTGAAGAACCAGGGCTACTACAACTTCAACAACAAGCTCTATTGCGACGTCCATGCCAAGATGGCCGCCCAGGCGCATCCGCCACCTGGCACCGAGGGCTATGTGCCAGTGCCCATTAAGCCGTAAGTACACCAGCCAAGCTAGATACCCTGTAAACCAGGGAAACCCCAGGTTAAGTTTAGTTATCGGTTAGACTTGATGGACTTTGAGTGCAATTTGTTTATTTCAGCGACAAATTGATATGAATATGAAAAGAATTAAATGCGAATGTGAATATTCATACGAATTCGAATATAAATATAAAAATGCAATTCATATTTATTTTTCCGTATGCCAAAACACGTTTGACATTTCGACGCGATAGCCAAAAGAGCGGAGGGGAATATGTTATTTGTGCCCCAGCTATTGTTTGCTTGGCACCGGGACGTACCGCTCTCTCTCTCTCTCTCTCTCTTACTGTGCTATGCTCTCCCTAGTTACCAATTGAATGACATTTTTTGTACATCTGCTGTGGACATAAAAACTGACAACTGATTGCCGACGTGTCAGCAGCGAAAATTTTTATTAAATGCAATTGCAGGCGAGCAGTGATAGCTGAAGGGGGCGTGGTTAGAGCTGTGGCTAGTCAGCAAGAAAAAAATTGAATATATGTATATAAATGTGGAGCATTCGTTAGAGCTGACAGATGCTGTTGCCTGGGCCTCTGGGATTTGTTTGAACATTTCGGCCAAATCGCAACTTAATTAAAGGCCAAGCAAGAGAGTATGTGTGAGAGAGAGAGAGAGAGAGAGAGAGAGAGAGAGAGAGAGAAAGAGAGATAGTTGATTGACAATTAAAGCTCAGGCAATTAGAGATGACATGACATTTCTTTTAATTAATCATGCGATCAACTCTGTTTCCTCCCCCCCTTAGGAATACCAAGCTGAGCGCCAGCACGATTTCTTCGGCCTTGAACTCGCACGGCTATGGCAGCAATGGCTACGCCAATGGCAATGCCACGCCCACTCCGGCACCGGTGAGTACAATACACGTTCTGACTGTTGATACAGACCTGCATGCCTACACATAAACACCCCCCTACACACACACACACAGATGCACTCTCTCACACACACAAATGCAAAAAAATCTTCTGACCCCGAAATGAAATACTTGAAGTTGCCCTCGCTTCTGCTTCAGCTTATGCTTCTAGTTTAACTATTTGTGCTGCTGCTGCTTCTTCTTCTTTCATTTTGTTTTTGCAATCAATCTTATCATGTTTGCATAAATTTTTGCTTGCGGCAGACTCAAATATATATGTATATATATACACACACACAGTTATATATGCCATATGCTAAAATGTTAAAAGAAAATGCAAAATGCAAAATACAAAATACAAAAGAAACAAAAAAGTTTCAAGGCAACGTGAAAATATTTCGCTGTGTGTGAACAAATATATACGAGCCAAAAGGTGAAGAGGAAGAAATTCAAACAATTTTTATGCTTCTATCTTCTCCTTCTTCTTCCACTCTTTGTTGTTCTTTTCTTTTGTTTGCTTTTTTTTTCCCGGCGATAAAAACGACAAAATGGAAAACTTTTTGCATTTGTGTGTGTGTTATTTGTTGTGCATGTGTGTGTGTGTGTGCGTGTGTTTGCGTGTGTGTTAGTCTGAGATAATTCGCTTGTTTCTTCTATGCATGCGCAATTATTATTATGTTTATTGTGAGCTACCCCTTCTCCTTTGAGAGCGCTTTGAATTGTGTGTGGGCTCTGCTGCTGCGAGCAAATCCTGTGGAAGCTGCTTTGGGGCAGCTTAAGCTGTAGGCGTGGCACATGCTTGAACTGTAATTGATTCGGTACACTCAGAGAAGAGTAAATTGGGCTAGAATTTGGCATAGCTAGAAATTATTATATATCGGAGCACTTCAATTCGATGGGGACTCAAATAATCATTCGCCAAGTGTAGCGGGCGTGCATCATCGTGATGAAATGCAGCCCTGCAGCCGTCAAAGCCAATCACTGCGAATGGGCACTGTTCACCCACTAAGCGAGCCAAGCTGATATAAATAGCTAGATAATCAACTAGTTTCTCTTGATGCCGATGCTCAGAAGTAAAAAGTAATTTCGAGCATGCGAGAAGAATGAACTGAAGAAGCGGAGGCAGACACAGATGCAGATGCAGATACAGATGCTGCTGGCTGCTAGCTAAACATTTTTGTAATATGTGCAATGGCTAGCCGAATGGCCAAATAGCCAAATAGTCGAATGGCTAAAAATGCTAAATTTATATTTATTTTTTGGTGGCAAGCCTTAGCTGTTGCTTTTTAATTCAATTTATTTTTACCACGATCTATAAAAAACAAAAACTGAGCAAGCTGAACTGAACAGCTGCAGTCGGACGCTGTCTCAGTCGCAACTTTTCGCGCATTCAGTTTGCCTCGTCGACTCGCGTTCGCGGCACGCAGCCAGCGCGAAAGCTGCGAATCGAATAACTATATAGACATATACAAACATATATACAAATATATATGTATATGTCTTAATATACGTGCAGATGAAACTCTAAAAGCGAAGCTAAAGAAAACTTTGTGTAAAGTGTCTTTGTGCGGGCTCCCTTCGAGAAGAACTCCCAAATTAATTGCAGTGTAAAGAATCAGTTCATTTAATCTTAATTAGCAAATTGCGATTGCTTCCTGTGTCTGGTTGCATAACAAAACTTTATCTATTTTACCTATTGGATTACGTTGTTTCGGCTATATTCAATTTGGATTACGCATTGGGATTATATTAAATTACAAAAGAAAGACAAATTTTTCCCTGTAAACTCGGAATTATTATCATATAATTTTGAAAAGTATTTCTCAACTTATTTTCAACATTTTATTTTCTTTAGAATCGGCATTTATATTTTTTTTTATTAATATATTTTTTTTATATATTTTTTTTTGAGCTTAAATTTTGTGTTAGAAAGGATTATAAGTATAAATCTAAAATTTGTTTCCCTCTTGGAGTTTCTTCCTAGAGTTAATTGAAATTCGTCTGCCAGGTTTATTATTTACATCCTCTTCTGTTAAATTACGGTTACACATATTTGTTCAACAATTTGTGCGGTATATTCCTTAAATTTTTCTTAGACTACGATATTTTATTTTACTCGCATTTGCCTTCTAAAACTCTTGGGTATTCGTCACTTAAAAGTCAAGAGCTAGCTATAGTTGGCACATTGACCTTGACCTATTAGCTATTTTTAGTGGTCACACACATACAAACACATATCGAGCATACGCCACGTATACACACACGCACACCCGCACACTCGCACACACTCACACTTGAAAGCCTCTCAAAGTTGTACAATTTTTGTTGTGCATTTTAATTAACTGCCTTTATTAACTGTGCATCCATTTACATGCCATGCCCTCTCGCCCGCCCGCTCGCCTGTCTGCCTGCCTGCCTGCCTCTTGTTGCGCCACTCCCCACCCGCCCCCTCCATAAAAAACACGCGCTCGTATTAACACATTAGTCCGAGCCAATGCCTGAGCTCGAGCCAGCGCCAGCGCCAGCGCCGGAGCAGGAGCCGGAGTTGACTGCAAGCAGTTGCCACGAGCTGCCGCTGCCGCCGCCACCGTCGCCCACGCAGCTGTTGCAATTCGAGAGCGAGGAGCTGTTGCAGCTGCCACCGAGTGGCAGCCAAACCACTGTCCGACAGCAACAGGCAGCAGCTGCTGGCAGCCTCTCATCAATTTCGAGCGGCTCCTCTTCGTCAGGTCTGGGTGGCTGCAGCGCCGCCGCTCTCAGCCCCAGCTCCACCCTCTCGCTGGACATGGAGCAGTCGCCCCTGCACTCGCGCCAGGCATCGGGCTCCAGCACATCGCTGGATGTGGCTGCTGTTGATAATTATATACCAGCCGCACCGCCTGCACCGCCCGCACCACCGCAGAATGAGAATGACATGAACATGCAGAACAAGGGACATAATGCATATAATCAACTGCTAAAGCAGTACTCCCATAAGCTGCAGCAGCAGCAGCAGCACATACCCACAAACAACAGCAACAGCAACAACACAAACAACAGACACAACAACACGGCCAAACCATTCACTACAACAACAACAGCAGCAGCAGCAGCAGCCAGCAATGGACAGAATGTTGCAGCTCTGAGTGCAACACTCGCTAATCAATTGAAATTTAATTCACATCAGGCAAAGCCAACAGCAGCAGCAGCAGCAGCAGCAGCAACAGCAACTGCTACTGTCGCAGCTACAGCTTCAGCTCAGTCAGATATAATGTCAGCCAACGTGGCGGATGAGCAATATTTAATTAATAACAACAATTGCTTTGGCGACGCCGCCCCCGCTGCCAGCGGCGCTGCCGCTGCGTGTTCAGTTCCCTCTGCGGCAGCGAGCGGCTCTGAGCAGCCGTTCGAGTATGTCACCTTGACCGGAAATGTAATACGCAGCGTGCAGCCGCCTGGCAAGGGCAATGCCCCAGCCAGCTATCGGGTAAGTAAGCCACGCTCTTGCGCCCTCCCCTCCCCCTCCCCTAGCCCAATCGCTGCAAGCTAAGCTAAGTAAGCCAAACAAAGCCTGCCAAAGTGTTGAATGTTCTCTTTGATGTCTAACTCGCTAACGTCTGTTGTCATTGAATTGAATTTGATCAGTAAGAGTCCAGCTGGGAGACACTGTAGATGCACTGCTTAAAGATTGAGATGGAACATCTTTTATAATATTGCTATAGTTAAAAGAATAGTACTAGAATAGAGTAGTAGATATATAGAAGTAGACTAAAGTAAGAGAGATATATAGGAGTAGAATTGAGTATTATAGAAATATAAGTGAAGGAATGTAGAAGACATATAGGAGTAAAATAGAGTAGTAGAGATATGAGAGTAAAATAGAGTGGAAGAAAAATAGTAGTAAATTAAAGTAATATATAAATAGAAGTGGAAGAGATTAGTAGGAGAGTAGTAGAGATATAGGAGTAGTGCTACTTTAATCTCATCCAGAAATTGTTGTAGATAAGAGTCATAGAGAAATGGTAGTAGATTTGAGTAGTAGAGATATGGGAGTAGAGTAGATATAAGAGTGGAGTAGTCGAAGGATAGCAGAACGGAAGAGTAGAAATTGCAGTGTCTGCCAACAATTATTAGTTTATTTATAGTTCTTTTTGCTTTGATTAAAACTAATTTCACTTTAAATATAACTTTTGTTCTATTTTCCTCAAAAACAGCTAGAAATGGCCTTAAAGAGATTCTTTAATTTAATCTAATTAATCCACGCTCTCCCTCTCTTTCTGTGTGTTTAGGTCAACCAGGGCTATGCCCGTCCCTATGGCGCCTCTCAGGCGCCAGCGGCAGCGCCCAAGTCTCCGGTGCCGGTCTCCTATCCACCTCAGCAGCAGCAGCAGCCGCAGCAGCAGCAGCGTCCAGGTGGCAATGCCTACGCCACTTTGCCACGCTCGAATGTTGGTCAACAAGGTAAGATGATGACGACGACAGCTGATGATGAGTGTTTGTCGCAGTCAGAAGGTGAATGGGTTTAGAAACCAGAAGCCAGAGAGCTGATATGCACCACTCTCGCTCTCTCTTTGTCTCGCTCTCTCTCTTCTCTCACTCTCTGTCTCTCTCTCTGGCAAGTGTTAGCTGCTTGTGTGGCCTCAACCCACGATTGCCCCGAATGTATTAAATGTGTATAAATCAAAACAAATTTTGTTGTTAAGCTAAAACACACAAACTCAACTTTTTCTAGTCGAAATAAATTTAAAACCAAAACTAACCTCAAAAAAAAAGAAAAAAAAAAACAGAACCCAAAAAAAAGTCTGCTTAAATAACAATTTTTTGGCAAAGGCGCAAAAATGAAATCGACCCGAGAAACAATTTTTGCTTTGTATATATCTTCCTCTATATATAAATGTCTCTGTGTCTGTGTGTGTGTCTATATGTTTAGGTCGCACTGTACAAAGGTACAATAGCTTCAACAGACAACAACAACAACAACAATATCAGCAGCAACAACATTATCAACAACAGCAGCAGCAGCAGAAGCAACAATATAGAAACTCTTACCCAATTGGATCGAGCAATAAATATGCTACACTGCCTAACTATAATACACAGACTCAATCCTACAACAGCAACAACAACAGCATCTATAACAACAATAACTATAATCGAGGTAAACAGCAATTGTTGCTAATGCAGCAGCAGCAGCAGCAACAGCCACAGCAGCAACAGCAACAGGCTTTTAGCAACATTCGCAGCGCGCAGTTGATTTAGTTTTTTGCGATACTCGTTCGAGTTGTGCGAATGGGGCATACTAGCTTTGCGTCTTGTTTGTCTGACTGTCCGCATATCTGTTCTGCTCCGTCTCTAGCTTCACCCAGCTAGGAAATATATACATAAATGAGGTATTTGTCTATATATAAAGCTCAAATATAGAATCAGTTTTATTTGAAAGTATTGGCGAATAAATGCCAGTTTGTGCTTCCTGAACGAGTATCGGGCAGTCGGGACCGCTCGACTGCAGTGTTCTTAGTTGCTTCTGTTCGAATTTGTTGCTGCACTTTAGTTAATTGCCAAACACTTGCCACAGGCTTTGACTGCAACTGAATTTGGATTTTTTGTTGATAGCATCAAAATTTGAATCGAGTTTCTAGCAAAACGGGAAAGAATTGGTGAAGTAAATAAGTTATGACACGGCCAGACGGGAAATTACACACGATAAGCGAAAAGCGGGAGCAGGGTGTAAAAGGGGGCGTGGCATTACAGCATTTCAATGTCAATGCAATTGCGATTGCAGCGCAGCAGCGCAGTGCTTCCGGCACATTGCCTTTCAACTGAAAGCCAAAAGCCCCCGAAACCCAAAAACCAAGCGCACGTTGCGTATACGTAATGCAGCAAAATGAAACAATTCAAGCACACACACACAGGCACATGTGAATGCGAATGCTATAAAATGTATTTCGGTTCAGCAATGCCACGTTGCAATAACTGCGGTAGTCCCGCCACACACACACACACACATACACACAGCACACACACACACCACACATACCCAACATTAAATGCAAGGCAAATATTATATATATATATATAGATATGCATATGTGAGTGTGTGTGTGTGTGCGTACGGAACACAGTGACTGATAAAAGTTGATGTCTAGAGCTGCGATAAATGCTATAGAGACCTTTGATTTCTGTCAGCATACACTTACAGCCCGAAGCCACTGTAATTGGTGCTGCTTACCTGCACTGACTGCCAGCAGTAAGGCAACACGTGACAGTACAGTTTTATCATATATTCTCATGGTATATTCTTAAACCTGTGCCCTTATAGCCAGCTCCCACTGTAGCTGCGATGCCTTCGCTTCACTCGCTGCACACACGAATTTTAAACATTTTTCTTTATATAAACAGAGTCGAGGCATACGTACGTGTACATTGTATATATATACATATATATGCTGACATATGCAAGTATGCAAGTGTGTGTGTGTGTGTGTGTGTTTGTATATCAATTACGGCTGAGCATTGTTGTTGGCTGTCATAACGGAAATGAATTAACAGCAAATATGGCGTGCACAGCCAAAGAATCCAAAATGGTAACAATGCAATTTATGAGTCCAATCTACCTCTATCTCTGTCTCTCTCTCGCAATTAAAAATGCAATTATTACATGCGTAAAGGCAACTGCCAAAAGTACACCACATTATAAATAGCTCTTTATTTATATATATAATCTGTGTAGATTTCATTTAATTTCGAGTCGAATCGCTCTCAGCTTCAGCCCTCAATCTCACCTTCCACCTTGAGTGAGCCGAGCAAGGCTTTGCAATCAGAAATCAAAATCAATCTCCTAATCAAAGCGTGAATCACGCACAACCGCAGCCATTAACCGAGCACATTTCTCTGGCTTTTTTTCGTGCTGTGTTGTGTTGGCGGCATGCCGCTAAAAGCAGCTGCCAAAAGCCGCCAAAAACACACATAAAAACAAATCCAGTTGGCAAATCCCACAGCAAGCCGCGGGGGCGGGCAGCTGGCAAACAAATGTTTGTACTACACACATTCCGACACGCACGCACACACACCAATACACCCTCACATACACACACACACGCACGCACAACAATGTAAACGAAGGCAGATAAATTACCAGTCATTATTATCCAAACAGCCTGACATCCTGTGTGTGCTCAGCCTGCTTTGCGCTTTGCGCTCCATATTGATGCACGTCCCTCTCTCTCTCTCTCTCTTTCTCTCTATTGCTCACGCTCTGTGTCTAGCGTGTTCTGGTTTCATGCATCAAATGCCTTGAATTCCTCAAGGTCTTAGCGGAAGTCCTGGCCCATGCTTAACTCCCAGTTATTTATTATCTTCGTTTTGTTTGGCTGCTCAACTATTCCGCTCGAGCAGCAGGCGAACTGAAATTCATCTCAAATACTTCCATTTATATACATGCTATATACATATACAATTTTGATCAATTTTGGCTTGGCATTTCTTCTTCTTCTTTCTAGGTTACGGTTACCAATATAACTATTAGAAAGCAAAAACTTAGAGCACAAATTGCAAAGTCTCCTTTTTGGCAAAGCTGATGAAATTTTCGGAGATTCTTTTGGGAAAAACTTTCAAAGCCTAAACACCTAAACATACACATATATCTATATACATATAAAAACCTTTCACTTATATATAACAGTTGTTTAATGACTTTTCAATAAATCTTATCAGTTCTAAGTCGATTTATGATTCCATATACACGTGCATAGACATGCACTATATTCTACATGAGCTATTCATGTAGTTCTCTCTAACTAAACGCTTCTCGCCTAACAGCGCATCAGCATTTGCCGATCTATCTATATGCATATACTATATACATATACATGTGTGTATCTCTATAACTCACTCTACTTTGCATGCCTAAGGCCCATCTATATATATCTCTCTTTATATATGCATACGTATTCCAAGTGTACCAAGTGAAACTTTTTCCTTGGGTCTGCCTCTATCTCTCTCTCATTATGTTTATTGCGAACTTTGTTGAATATAAAATATTTTCTATAATAAGCGACTTTCTGCTTGTCAGTGTGTGTCTGTGTGTGTGTGTGTGCGTGCGTGTGCTGTTGCCATTTTCAATTTCTGCAAAATTACAGCCAATATGAAATTATGCATAATAAAAGCCAATGACTACCTGTCGTCGCCATTTTGGCTCTTGTGCAGAGACGTGAGAGCTCAGCGCGCAGTCCCCCAGCCACAGGCTCAGGAACATAAAAAATGAACACACACACACGCACACACACAGTCATACAAGTGGGTCTAGCACACATACACTTGTGCTCTCTGTTTATTGTTCCGCCATGAAAATGGCCTGAAAATAAGAAATGAAAAATTTATTTGCCCGGGCAAACAATATTGTCTGTATTTCAGCTCTTTTTATATTGCAATGGATATTTTGTTTATGTTTTTTGATGTGTGACAACAACAACGACGACAGCGACGACGACAACAGACCGATTACATATACACATATACACATATACATATGTATATACAGATAAACGTAATTGTTGCACACATTGCGTAAACGCAACGTTCGCAGTTTAATCTCCCTCTAGGACTAGACCTATAAATGTCTATTTATATAGACTGCGTTTACGCTTACGTTTACCCAGCTAGAGTGTGTGTTCCACTAGATAGACTACATTTCTACCTGACAAACGCTTCATATTCAACTTGTTGGAGCTTTACTCCTAATGCGCTACTCGATTAACTTTCAACTCCATCAAATTAGTTGCAGTCTCAGCCCGGGGCAGTTGCTCTACACTTCTCACACACTTCTCACACGTTTAGTATTTAAAATAACACTAATTGAACACACTTTGGAACTTGTTGTTCGTTTTTGTCTCACGTAAGGAGCTGATACTTGGCATAAGCTGAGCTGAGCTGCTCTGCTAAGCGGCTTAGCTGAATTGTGTTGCCCCACGGGCCAGGGCAAGGATAAGGGCAAAGGGGAAGGGCAAAGGCAAGGGCCGTTTGCCAGTTGTAGTTAGTTTAGCTTCGCTTTGTTTTTCTGCTTTTGCGTTTCTGTTGTTTTTGTTGTTTGCGCCGCTTTTTGACATCTCTCAAGCGCTCCGCCTTCACCTTCGACTTTGCTTCTGCTTCGCCGTCTCCGCCACCTCTGCCGCTGCCCCCACCGCCGCTGTCACTGCCGCCATCGCCGCCGCCGCCTTGCTCAGTGCCAACGACTAACAAGCGTATGAATTTTATTTCTTTCTGCTCTTATATTTGCCTCCGCTCCGCTCCGCCTCGACCACGCTCCGCTCTCGCCCAACTAACCAATGCTTTGTCCCAACCACGCCCCCCACCCCTCGCCCCCTTTACACTCGACGCGCAGAATTGGAGGCGGAAGGCTTGCAGCCGCAATACGAGGAGGAATGCTACGAGGAGGACGTTGAGGTTGCCATGGCAGCCAGCCGTCGTTCGCATGGCAGCAGCTTCTCGTGGCCGCCGCCACAGGATGAAAGTCATACGGCACCAACCGCTGCACCACTCTACATAGCCCCACCCGAAACGCAGCACGTGGTGGTGGCCAACCCAGTGCAGGAGGTGCCGCCACTGCCGCCGGGCCGCGCCAGTTCGCGCCTCGATCCGCAGCCGCAGGAGCGACCTCAAGCGAATAAGGCGGAGCAGCCTTCGCAGGCTCCGCAGGCTGCGCAGTGGCAGAGCTACTCGGCGCCGCAGCTGACGCAGCAGCGCGTGCAGCAGACTCAAATGGAGCAAGAGTCGAGCTCGGACAGCTATACGTCCACATCGACAACCACAACAACCACCTCGGAGGAGTATCAGCGCATGTACGCCGCCCAGCTGCAGGCCTATCAAATGCAGCAGGCGTGCTACGAGCAGTCGGGCTCTGAGCTGGACTACCAGTTGGACCAGGACGCGCAGGAATATGCCTCGGGCAGGCGCAGTGCCCAGGAGTGCGTCGACTCGCTCTCAGCGCCATTGAGCACCTACAAGCTAATCGATATGGTAAGGGAGGTGACACCCAGTCCCGTGTCTACTCCAGCTCCTGGTGCAGCTCCTGCTCCTGCTCCTGCTGTCGCTCCACCTGCTCGTCACGTGGCGTTCAACGATGAGCCAGAGATCAAGGAGCTGCACACTGAGCTGGAGACGATACCCGAGTCGGCCGAAGACCGCGAGGGCCTCATCATTGAGCAGCGCTGCCAGATACTCGAGAGCGAGCGCATGTTCCAGGCCACGCCAGAGATTAAGATCGAGATAGCACCCGTGCGTCAGCGGCCACCACCCTCCAAGATACCCAATCCCATGCCCAAGGAATGGATCAACCCCATGATTCGTGTGCTTACCACAGCGCCGGAGGTGCCTTTCCACCTTGTCGAGTGTCCGTTCCCCAAGCCTTGCGACGATAACTTCGAGGCGGAGGCAGCTGCTGCCGACGAAGCAGCCGAGCAGGCAGCTCAACAAGCTGCAGTTGCTCCACCTCCACCGCCACCTCCGGCTCCGGCTCCAGCATCTGCACCGGCTCCTGCTGTCGCTCCCGCTGCTGCTGTGGATGCCTATGCTGTTCAGCTGTTGCGCGAGTCTCCGCCACGTGGCAATCGACTCAGTCAGGCTATGGCCACAGCGCCGGAGTTTCCAGTTCGCTTCGCCCCGCCAGCAGCCGAAGGCGTTCCACTACCCGAAGAAACAGTACCCTATATGCCACCGCCCATGGATATGAAGCCGTACATGCGCGAAGATTATCGTCCAAAGAGTCCGTTCGTGAACGCCTTGACCACCGCCCCGGAACGGCCCTTCGAGGGTCACTTCGACCGGGACGTTCCCATCCACATGATAGACCTGCCCACACCCAAGGAGCACCTGAGCATGTGCGACGCACTGTGCACAGCGCCCGAACGTGGTTATACCCCACTCAATCCCGAGAACGCGACGCAGCGCCGTGAGGAAGAGCAAAAACAGCAGGAGCTAAAGAAGTATGAATTTCAGGTGCTCGATCATGAAGAGGAACTGGGCATCAAGCCGGAGCCGCCCGAGTCTGTGGAGTACTTCAAAACGCAGCCTCAACAGCAGCGCAAATCCTCAGCATTTGCGGCCATGCAAGCATTCCAGCCGTCTCGCGAGCCACTTTCCTCCAACTCCAACGCCAACACCAATACCAACTCCAATTCCTCCACATCCACAACGAACACTGTCACCAGCTCCCTAACGAAAGAACAGAACGATCTTGAGTACCAGAAGTACTGTAAGGCGCAGCAGCGCAATCAAAAGCGACTCGACTACTTTCACAAAAAGGAAGAGGAGCTCAACCAGAATCAAACACAGATGAAACTTTTAGAGACTAACTCGACTAATTTGAATGCGAATGCTGCGACTGCTTCGTCTAACTCCTCTTCCACAGTCCATCAGTCCAACAACATCAACAGCATCAACAACAACAACAACAACAGCAACAACTCCACCTCCAACTCTGCTTACGTCGCCCAAACACAGACCCAGACTCAGGCTCAGGTCCAGTCTCATGCCCAGGCCAGCACTCGGTCCTCCTTTTCAGCCAGCTCCAACCTGACCTCCTCCACCTGCACTACCAACCAGACAGCTGTAAATACCGCTTGCAAACTCGATGCCCACGAACTGATCGAGGAAACCGCCGAGGAACTCGAGCACTCTGAGGTACTATTCCCGCCACCATCCCCGCTCAGCCACTTGAAAGGCAAAGCCGTGCAGTCCGGTTTGCATAGGGCGGATGCCATACCCAAGTACCAGCGCAATTGGACAGTGCTGCCCACCCAGAGCCCCATACGCACACCGGAGCCACAAGAGCTGCGCGAGAATGTGCCGCTTGCTTTCGTAGATGCACCCAAGCAGCCGACGACAAGTGCCAGCTCAGAGACTGTGCACAGACCCATTGCAAAGGTTTCGACGGCATCGACGGCTGCTCGCGGCTCGATTGCTTCGGTCGCTTCAGTTGGCTCGGTGGGTAAGCCAGCGGTGCAGCCGTCGGTGCCCATCATAATTGAAGATCGATCGGGTCCAGTAACGATGGCTTTTCAATCACTAGATGAATATGAACGGCCCGATCAGTCGCTGACTCCTACTCGGCCGTACACGCCCTGCTCGTCCGTCTGTTCGATGATCAACAAGCCGGCACCCATCATACCCTTCTATCAGACAGAGGAGAAGCTCTGCTTTGATGAGTGCCCAGCTACGCATGCGCGCGACTATGATCAACGTGCTGCCTCACCCTTTCCAGATCGCGCACGCTCGCCAGCGCCTGGACCTCCACCGAATCCGCTCTCTGCCATACGAGCGCCACGCATGAAGGACTCCTCGGAGTCGCAACTGCTCTCAGTCGGAGGATCGCGTCTACAGACAGGCTCTATCACCACGGGCCAGAGCTACCAGGGTCAGCTGTTGGCTCACTCCGAGCTCAGCTCGCAGTCGGCTAGCCAGAGCTACAGCCAGCAGCCGGAGAAGTTGACAGAGATGCGAGTCGGCAATGTGAATGTGCAGCAGCGCGAGCAGTCTTCACAGCTGCAGGAACAGAAGCAATCGCAACTCCAGAGTCAGACCAAGACCCAGATTGGCAACACACAGATCGAGCGCAGACGCAAGGTTACTGAGGAGTTCGAGCACACCCAGAGTGCCAAGACCATTGAGATTCGCACGGGCTCCAGCTCCCAGACGCAGATAAAGTCACAGTCTCAATTGCAATCGCAATCGCAGTCCCAGTTGAAGTCGCAGTCTCAATTGCAGTCTCAATCGCAGTCGCAGTCTCAATCACAGTCACAGTCGGAGTCTACGGAGCGCCGCTCATCTTACGGACGCACAGGTTTCGTGGCCAATCAAGCCCGTCGGCTCTCTGGCCTGGAGCAGGAAATAAGCAGCTTAACGACTCAGTCTCAGGCCATCAGTGCACGCGCCTCGACTCTAGGCGAGAGCAACTTCCCACAGCTGCGTTCGCCCACCTTTGAGGATAAGTTTCCTCTGAATCCAGCTGCTGTTGAGTCAAGTGTGCCCAACTATTCAGCAGGGTTGACAGCTGGCAACAAGCTGCTCGGACCTCCACCCGGATTCAAGCAGCAGCAGCTTCAGCAGCAACAGCAGCAGCTGCAACAGAGGTCGGCCTTCAAGTCAACTTCTTCGACTCAGCAACAGCAGCTGACCTCATCGCTAACATCAGCTTCAGCAATCACATCCGCATCTACATCAACATCTGCATCAGCATCAGCATCACAAGCGTCGGCTAGTCTAACCAAAGCTTCTGCTATTACTACCACAACTAATAATCAAGCCTGTGCGCAATTCAGAGGCTCTGGAGCCGCGGGCTCCTCATTAACAGCTGCGCTGGCCAAGCTGCCAACTGCTTCGGCGCCAAAGCCAACAACAACTACAGTTGCGCCACCCGTCTTTCCGCCCAATCTAAGCGAGTTGAACTCTAATGTTGATGGTTCCACAGGTGCTGGAGGCAAGGGCGGAGCATTCGGTGCCACCTCGGCGCCAAAACGTGGACGTGGCATTCTCAACAAGGCCGCCGGACCAGGCGTTCGCATCCCACTCTGCAACAGCTGCAATGTGCAGATCAGGTGAAGAAGCATTCCCCATGCTTTTTCAAGTTCTTGTTGTTGTTTTTGTTTGGTTTGATTTCTATTCATGTTTTTTAACTAACTGGAGTCCGAAGTGAATTCCAAGCTCCTATTGTTACATATACTCTTAATTCCCCCCAACCCAAAGCTGACCTGAGGGTTGATTCTCTGACTGTCCCGATTCTCTGCATGATTGTTAACCTATTACCTCGATTATATATACTTTTTGGCTGGCGCAGCTCTGATCAATCTCAGATTATCTTTGCCATTGCCAGTTAGGTCTAAGTCTTCAGTTAATTCCTTGCACGAACTGTAAACCCTAACCAAATTTCGTTTGTTGTTTTTCGTTATCGTTCCATTATTACCTTGCCGCAGCGCCACCTCTGCTTGCTCAGCCAATTAACTCGCATGCTAATCCAAATGCCACGCTGCCACGCCCCATTCAAAGAGCAACTGACGAGGACGTCGAGACGAACGCCACAGCCATGCTGACCGAGAGCATAGGCCGCATGGATATGGGCGAGCAGACGCCTGCCTTCATGCAGGAGGCAGGCAAGATCATCTCCAACATGCTAGAGGCGCGACTTGCCAACAGTGCCACGCCCTCCCACGCAGGCAGCAGCTTAAGTCTGCGCAGCAACAGCAGCTCGAATCTGACAAAGAGTCCGATGATAGTGCGCAAGCGTCTCGACCTGGACGACTTCAAGCACATTGATCCTACACAGCCCGTGGCCCTGCACCCAGTAGTAGCTGTGCCACAGGCGCCTCCGCCGGCTCCTGTGCAGCACCAGAAGCAGCCGCCGATTGAGCTGGGCAAACAGAAGGCGCAGCCACAGGTGGAGCGTGTGGAGCAGACGCTGCAGCTCGAGCTGCCGGCGCAGCATCCAATGAGCAAGATCCTCGATATCTGTGATAGTGGCAAGGCGGGCCAAGAGCAGCCGACACCCGAGCCAGTTGCCTTTAGAAATAATCTGAGGCGCACGGATGCCACCCACGCTGCCGATCGTCGCTCCTACATAGAGCCCAAGCAGAACGCCAGCAGCAGTAACAGCAGCGGCAAGGATGGCAAGGATACCAACAACAGTCAGGGCGGTGCGCCCAAGTTCAGCGTTTGTGTGAGGCCATTGGGAGATGCTCAAGGACCCATGTCGGAGGAGAACGAGAAGGCCGTAAGTCAGTTGCTCAAGGATGGTAAGCGTCCCATATGCTGTCAGTGCAACAAGGAAATTACATCGTAAGTAGTCTAATTGCCTAACAGCCTGCGCCTGCCCAACCCACTGCCCTTTGCCTTTCCCCTCGAGCCAATGCTAATACTTCAATGTGCCATTCTTTTGCAGGGGACCCTTCATTACGGCTCTGGGTCGCATCTGGTGCCCCGATCATTTCATCTGCGTGAACGGCAACTGCCGTCGTCCGCTGCAGGACATTGGCTTCGTTGAGGAGAAGGGCGACCTGTACTGCGAGTATTGCTTCGAGAAGTATCTGGCGCCCACTTGCAGCAAATGCGCTGGCAAAATCAAGGTAAGCCCTCAATTCAAGCACAAGTCTTTAAGAGCTAAACACTAACTCCCTCTCCCTCTCCCCTCTCTCTCTCTCTCTTAGGGCGACTGCTTGAATGCCATTGGCAAGCACTTCCATCCCGAGTGCTTTACTTGCGGCCAGTGCGGCAAGATCTTTGGCAACACGCCATTCTTCCTAGAGGATGGCAATGCATACTGCGAGGCCGACTGGAACGAGCTATTCACTACAAAGTGCTTCGCATGCGGCTTCCCTGTTGAAGCTGGCGATAGATGGGTAGAGGCGCTCAACCACAACTATCATAGCCAATGTTTCAACTGCACTGTAAGTATATGATATATATGCCTGTAAATTCAGATGTCAATGGATTTTCTCAATTTTCTTCTGTAGTTCTGCAAACAAAACCTGGAGGGTCAGAGCTTCTACAATAAGGGCGGACGTCCCTTCTGCAAGAATCACGCGCGTTAAGCTCAATCACAAATCGTATTGTATATGGCTCGACTATGGACTTCAGGGATTACGCACACTAACAACCAACAACCTACAATAACCGACATCAACAAGAACAACAACAGCACGATTAGAAAAGCAGCAGCAGTTCTTAATTAAGCATTGAAGCTCATTGAAGCAATTATCAAATTGAATTTCCTTGATTTCCTTTATAATTTGTTTTCTTTGAACTGTTATCCTAATTTTAAAAAGAAATGATAGAAAATCAAACATTGTAAACGACACGAAATCGAATTAGTTTTCAACAGCAGCACCCTTATATATATATATATGTAAATGTATATATATCCGATTATCCACACCTTATATTTATATATTATTTATTCATTTTAACATAATCGAATTATATGTGAAGATTTATGCTTATATATATATTTGAATGTATTTCACAAAAGTTATTTAGTTTCAAATGAGAATAAGTTGCTGTTCTCAAGCCGCGCAAAAAGGATTTCAAATGGCTAAAAACAAATGTATATTTATATATTGTATATCCTCAATCAATCAGAGCGCAATCAGCAAATTATTGAACTACTTGAAAAAACTAAAACTCAACCTATAATTTGTATTGTAAACCAAATCAAGATTATCTTAATTGATTGTATCTTGCACGAAATTACTATCAATAAATTTCGAAATCTTTTTCGCGTTAAATAGAGTTTTTAAAAATTTACAGGGAATCACAAATATCTACAAATTTTATTTCTCCATGGTCTTAAATACATTGTGAATAAATGATCCAAATTTAACTTAAATTGAAAGCTTTTGGCTACGATTTGACGTGAATTTATTCGGAGTATCAATTCGCATTCAAAAGTATTCCTGGACTTTTGAAGTTTCGGTAAAATGCAAATGAAACCGAAATAAATATTGCATTGGCAATGGAGGGGAAGAAAATTAATGTCGGATAGACGGGCGGACGGACAGATTTAAGATTTAATTCTTTAATGTATTTAAATACAAATTGTACTTATATTTCCCCAAAAAAACTTTAAATAAATAAAAAGTATATAAATTTGCCGTTTGATTTTCAACAGCATTCCGGCCTGCCTGATTTGACGCGAAATTCGATTTTGCAGGACCCATATGCGTCTATAGTTGGATTTAGCGCAAATTCCCCTATCGCGAATTCAAGATTTCTTTAAATTTACAATGCTGCCCTCTAGAGTATGCAATGGAAATGCACTTTTCGACATCTCATCACAAAAGTATGCAACAGTTTTATATCAAATTTCTGTAGCTACTCCCGCTGCCCTTGGGAATATGCAATAAAAACACATTT